ATCTCTATATCTATATAGATATATGAGACGTGCACTGCGCTTTTTATGTACTATTTACAATGTGCTCCAAGAACCTACTAGACACTGTTTGATGTTCTCGGAGCACATTGTAAATGGTACAAAAAAGCGCAGATGCACACCTGGGCGATCTGTGACAGCGTGGCAATCCTGCACAATACCACGCAGTTTCTCGCCTCGATTCCGCCCATGCATCCGAATTTTTTTCTGCGATTGCCGCATGGATGTCACCCCATTAAAATCAATGGGGCCGTGCAGAAATCGCTGTCTGCAATTGTGCACAACCGCGTGATCTCAGGTCTCTGGACGCACGTCCCGGATCGCTCAGGTCTGCACCGGGCCTAAAAGTAATTGAGGCAGCTGATGTTTCTGCTCTTAGACAGGACTTAAAAGTAGGGATGCACGGATAACGGTTTTTCGGTATTAGGTACCATTATAATTTTTTTCGGTACTCACCAATACCGATACGGAAAGTCCCATTAAGGTAGTGGGGCAGCGTGTAATGAGTCGCCACCCGGCTTTCTGATTAGCCGGGAAATGGGGCGGCGTGTAATGACTCATCACCACGTGACGAGGGAGCATGAAGCCAGCTTTCTGGCCAATCGGGAAGCCAGGGGGCGGGTAATGACTCACCACCTGGTTTCCTGACAACGGAAGTTCTGGTGTCGGGGCAGGCATCGGGAGCATTTGGACGAAGGAGAGCACACAGCACATGCATAGTTTTATGGGGAAGAGCACTCGCTCCTTTGATGCTGGGCCCCCCTGACTGCATTGCATATTGAACTGAAAAGGTGAAGTTGGACTTTCAGGGGCATAGTTCCTCTCCTCTCCCCCCCCCCCCCCCCCCCCAGCAGGTATTTCGTGATTTTGTAATGAATAAATGCCTCTTCGGTCGGTAAATGTTATTGATGAACGCACCATATGGGTTATGTTGTGAATTGAGCCCAGTCTCTATTGTCACATGAGACAAGAGCAGAGACCAACTTTCAGTGTTCAGCTGTCATTTGAAAGCGCAAATCTGAATCTGATTGGTCATTAACAAGCAGTACAGACAGTTCTAAGTTCATAAACATTGATTAATGTGATCCATTGTGATTAGAGACTGCCGCCCCCTAGAGGTAGAAATTAGAACTACAGTCTAGCACTCTCCTCACACTACCATTGCTGCCTTAACGCATGTGGCACCACTAGGTCCTCCCCCCTATTTTTTTTAAATTTAATTTGGAAATTCAAACTTGCGCTGTATATAATAAATACACTACATGCAATAACTACGAATGATGAAACCGCACATCGCCCCATCCTGTCAGCAGCAGAAAAGCCTCCTCGGTTTGTACATAGATGATAGGGAGCTGCCATGCACACTGTAGGGTAGAGATATCTGCAGGCGTTAGGTGAGCGGTCAGATACATGGTGTTTTGTAGGAATCAGTGGAGGGTTTCATGCTGCTACAATCCCCTCCCATTCTACCGATCTCGTACAGCGAGGGGAAGCTCAGCACTGTTGTAATGAAAGAGATGTAATTCAGATATGTATTATAAAATAAATATATGTATTTACATGACGTGCAGTGTTTCTCCTTTTTCCCCATGACAGTTGTTGGTTGCTGTGTGTTTAAAGCATCAGGCAAATGGCTAAATACAATAGGTATTAGGAAGCTATGTCACCTGCTGAAGGATATGTATTTCTGTCCAGGCAGTCCTGAGATTTACACAGCTCTGCCACACAACACAAATAGGTGAATGCCACCATTTTAGACTGTAGAAGGAATACAGAGGTGTCTTCTCTCCACCCCCAACCAGTCACCGCACCCATTAAAAGTATGCATGTGAAAATGTCAGGGCACCACCTAAGGAAGCCAGAAGGAACCCCAGAGGTGCCTGAGCACCCTGGTTAGGGACGGCTGGACTTGACAGTCAAAGAGAAGCAGCAGTGTGATGAGGCCATCTTTCTGCTCACTCTGCTCTCTCCACCTATCATCCGGCTTCTTGTCAGCACATTTACATGCAGCTCACTGACTGGTCCCCAGTCCTGCCCCTTGCTCTCCTGGTCTGCGTGCTCCTGCAGTTCTACAGGAGATTGGAGGAGGCTGATTGTCATGTTTAGGTATTTACACTGGTTGCAATGAAACAATAGATGTAATGTATGACTACATTGTTTATAATGAGCGCAGCATTCGTTCGTGTGGTTTATATCTGTCTGGAGTTCAGCTATAAAGCCCAAATGGGCCGTCTATTCAAATCCACTAAATATATTTCAGGGGCATCGAAACAAAAAGGGTGCCAAGTCCTCCAGTTCATTCCTTCAGAATGCAGCCACAGCCTGAGTAGAAAGGCCTGACCCCTGCCAGCCTGCTGCAAGGAAAGACCCAACCTCTCCGTGTGACATCAATAACAATGATCAACAAGACTGTGATCTCCCTGGAGGAACAGACAGCAATAAAAACCTTGCAGGGGTTCTAATGTTTCCCCACTGCATCCAAAACTAAAATGAAGTTTTATTCACTTCCCGAATGTACTTTCCGCGTCTGTGCAACAACATGTAATACCTTTTATCTGTCACTAGATAGCGATCTTGCTTCCAGAATGTTGTCTGCCTAGGCAGCTCA